ACCACAAAATTTCGTCTTTTTGAATCCAGTCTAGAGAACCGCCTTTGTGAGGTTGTTAAAATTCAAACTGTTAGAGTCGTAAGAAAACTTGTACTCCTCCAAGAAAGCTTTGCAAGTACCATGAAGGTGCGAAGGGATTCCATCACCCACAAAGCATCGGTTGTGCCTTTGTTGAATTCAAAAGCTACCGAGGTGTTGGACAAAATGATCCAAACGTTGGCAAAAGCAATCACATTCAAGTCGGAGGAGGCAGAGCGCACGCTTGTGGAAAATTTAGAAGTCCTGAGGACGCATGTTTTACGCGAAGCTGAAGAGTACAAAGCCGAGAAACGGGAAAGTCTGCTGATAGAGTTTCAAACCATGGTTACAACTGAGCTACCGGCTTTCTCAGAAACACTGCTAGATTCCGGCCTTGACATTGCTTTAGCAACATTTGTTGCTGACATGAAACGAAGTATCTTGGAAATTTCATGCCAAACCCTGGAGACAGCTGTTCACGGCCTCATGAGGGATTACGTCCACGATCTTACACGTGCTATCGATGACTTCCATTCAGTCGTTCAAGACCCAATGGTCTCACGCATATTAGAGGACATCTATGACTTTCAATTCCTGGCCGTCAAAAGTGAAACAGACCAGTTACTCCAAGTTGTAATGAATGGGCTTCTTGACTCCACGAACGACGTTTCTTCTGTTGCTCTGAGAACTGGAATCTCGGATCCTCTCTCTCGCGTTCTTTCGCCACAAGACTTGGAGAGTTACCATGACGTAGATGTTTCCAAGAAGTCGATCAGGCGCAATATTTGTGAGACTCTGTTGGCCGTGATTGACTTCAATGGTGTCGTGGATTCAGTTCTAGCTGCATGTGCAGGCCGTCTGTTAGAAATGCATGAGAAATTTCAGGATGCCCTTTCTTCTTTCAATTCTTTGCAAGAGGCTTTTACCAACAGCTTCGTGTCGTTGCAGCTGGAATCTTTCCGGGTCCAATTCACCCCACAGATTCGAAAATTGACTGTGGAAGGAATGGCCTTGCAATATTTGCAGACGTTTGGGCCAGTTGAGCGTGGTTCTCTTGTGGCCAAAACAAGACATGGAGCTATCTATGACTGCATAAGCGAAAGCTGGTGTAGTTCCTCACCCACCGGACAGTGCGTGGTAAAAGTCATTGAAAAGCGAAATTTGAGCGAAGCTGCCTGGAGCCAGAATGCTGTGGATTTAGTCAACATGATGTAAGTAATGCATTAAAAACTGTAATAAATTAATGCGTCAATCAATTCTAAGCTTCATCATTCCCTCCGGGCAACCACCCGGGCATTTGAGCTTTTGAAGATTATTCCGTTTATATTCCCGCCCCTCTGGGTCACATTTACATCAAATGGCTTACTCAAGCACATTTTTTTTAATTGAAAAATTCTTTGTATGATCGACGAATGTTTTAGAATTTAACAAACTCGTATATTTTTATTTTGGTGCTGTTATTGTTGTTGTTGTTGTTTTTGTTGTTGTTTTTGGCTTGTAAGTATCATTCTACGATGTGAAAGCAGACTCTTTTCTTTTAACTCCTACATAGTTAAAATTTTATCAACACTCCTGGCTAAAGCTCCCCACCCTACCCAGGTAAGGTCACACTCCTCACCCCGCGGCATGGACGACAATCAAATGCCTGTGGGTTGCCCAAGGGGACGTAGAAGCTTCGATTTGGTCATAATTTGCTTGATAAGAACAAAAACACGTTTTGAGGATTCCCCTTTCAATTTATCTCAATGTTTGGGCGACTCCTCTGATAGTTTCGTGACCTTGATTCAGTCTGTTCACTCTATTACAAATCCTAATAGTAGAATATCTGATATGTATTTCTAAGACTTAACGATCTGAATTACCATATCCCTGACAAAGTCATGAGAGTAAATATGAGCGTTATTTAATTTTAGGGACATAAATCTGAGGCTCAATGGATCCCACCCAAACCTGTTACGCTTGTATGGATGGATTCTCCCAGATCCTGATACCGTACACGTCGTCATGGAGAAAGCAGAAAGGAATCTACTGCGTGCTCTCCAACAGGGATTGCCGCTGATTATAAGGATCAACATAGCCTTGGACGTGGCTGAGGGGTTGAAGGCCATTCATGATATTGGTTACATCTACGAGGATCTGAAACCTGGAAATATTCTGGTAAGGGTCCCCTATGTGTGCAATCTAGGATTTGGTTTTAAATGATGGTCTTTGCTGGAGACGTAAGAAAAATTTAAATAATCACAGCAGTCTATACGCCATACAGGCTTCTCACAAAATGTGTGAGATGACCCTATCGAATGGGTCGCTCTTTAGTTTTAAGAATCTATATATTTTATAGTTTCTGGCCACCCCTGAATTCTGAGAAAATCTGAATTTTCGATTCTGAAATAACAAGAATTTAGATGAAATCACTGGAAAATATTCAAGAAAAAAGTGTTCTCCTCAAGAGATAGTATAAATACAGTAAGAGGTTACCTGAGTAAATCATGGAACTTTATCTATGTACTGACATTGTCACTCATAATTTGAATTTTATGCAATGAATTATTTCTCAGCCAGGAGTATAAAAGTGTACTGGCGAATTGTGAGGGAAGCCTGATGAAATGTTTGGGGGGGGGGGGGGGGGTGTGGGGAACCTTGCAATGGATTAGCATCCCATCCAGGGAGGGGGGCTGTAATACTCCTAGTCTCTTCATGCTACAGAAACCGACATAATGTCCGGCTTGATGAGCCACTTGGCTCATTTACAGACTTCACTTCTTTAATTAAGTCAACATAAAGTAACACTAATTTCCCTGCATTAACGTGAATACGTGTATACTTTATGACGCATGGCTCCAATTCCGGGATGCTAAAGCTTCTATTGTAAAAGGAAACCTCACAACAGTTATTTTCCTTTAGCTCATGAAAGATGGAAAAGCCAAGATCAACCTCGCTAAACCTGAAAGTCCTTACAACATGACCACTCTTGGTTCACCGTTCCACATCTCACCAGAAATGTACCACTACCACCGAGAAAGTCACCTCAGTTATCATTCGTACGACATCTACGCATTTGGAATGTTACTGTGGGTGCTCTTTGAGGGAAGTGGGACAACAAGACCTGAAGTTTACCAAAACATGGAAACTACTGAGGAAATGCGAGAAGCGGTTGAGAAAGGAATCCTTCCGAAAAGACTGCCACGGGTGAATGATGCGTGCTGGAATTTGATGATGATGTGCTGGAAAAACAGAGAAAGCATTAAAATGGAAAACGTCATCAGTGAATTGAACCCGATAAGGCGTTCTTGCCTAGACACTTTGATGCCCAGCGACCGTCGTTGAACAAATATTGTATTCCTTGTTCCAGAATTTTATTACATAAGAGCATACCATGCAAGATGTTTAAAACGTTTAGGAATTACTCATCAAAAACATAGAAAAGTGATATAAAAAGGATGCTTGAAGTCTTAGGAGAGAGTTAGCTGTACCGGAACCAAAGTATGTAGCAAGACATATTCCTTATAAACTGCACCTGTCACCAAATCTGTGAGGGGAGGGGTTGATATTTCTGGACATAGCCATATACCCCTATCGAGTAATGTTAATAGATTTTTGGAAGAATCGATGTTAATTCACATTTTGATTTCATATAAGTTCAGAATAGGTTGGAAATACTTTGGAAGAATGGTGGTGGGAAAGAGAGACAAAAAATATATAGACAAAAAATATGTAGACAAAAAATATATAGACAAATTGCCGCAGGCAAAAGGAGGCGGAACTCAACAGAAGTAACACCTAATTGAAATTGGCTGGATATAATTCCACTAGAGGGTTGAGCTGAAACAGTATAGTACGGGTTTCTTACTAGTTGGCCTGGCAGTTCACAGTACTGGTCTTTGTTTTTCTGGCGGTGTATCCTGACGTTTTTATGCAGTTTCATATGCAGTGATCGAGAGACTTTATTACAAAATTTCTATCTAGATAGGCGAATTTTTGAAATTTTTAGCCTTTCAAGTGGTAAAGTTTTCTCAATTTATTCCTTGCACTAAACAAAAGTGAACGTTTAATTTCAGCTTTAGATCATATTTCTTTGCACAAAAATGTGGGTGGAGAAAGAGAGAAAGAATCGGGCAGGGACACGTTAGTATAATTGATCATGTAACTAGACACTATAGAAACTATACTTAAAGCACAAACCTAACTAAAGCTGCTTTCCACGAATGCCGTGCCTGAACGTACTTCTTTAATTAAACGCTTAAATAACCCAAGGGACTTTGCTTGTCTTATGTTACGAGGAAGTCTGTTCCAAAGAGTGACGCCGCTGTAGCTAAAGTTATTTTTGTAATAGTTTGTGCGCGGCAAAGGGAGATTAAGCTTATTCTCAGTCTCTTAGGTTCTATACGCAGTTTGGTATTCGAGAAGAAATAAAATGGTTTGATAGTTCCAATCAATCAGTGCTCTATTATGAATATTGTACATTCCGAGATTATATTATTGGACCCTTATTAATGATTTGCAGGATCAAAATGTCAGACTCGAAGGTGAGTACAACTGATCTACTCTCCCTGGGCGACCAGGAAAGAGTCGTCGCTTAATGGAAATGGTGAGTAAGGGAAACATCAATGCAAAAAGTCATATACGTTGTGTCGTCGACGGGAAAACAGCTCACTTTGTTCATCTCAACACCTACAGGACACGTTTCAGGCTATAATTAGAGCGAAATAATTTGGTTTTATCAACTGAGTTGATAATGTAGATTGGCCACCCTAAAGCCGAGTTTCTAAGCTGGCGATTCGAGCGTTAGCCCTTCATCAGAGCGGCTGGGAAGCTCTAAAATAAAGGGCTGACGCTCGAAACGTCAGCTATAGAAACTCTTTACGGTGGCCAAATTACATTATTGACTTAGTTAATTAAACCAAATTATATTGTAATACCCCTACTGACACAGCACCACAGTTTCTTTAATTTAGAAACTTACCCCCTTTCTAAACATAGCGATTGCATGTAAGTTACGACTATTTATTCCATGGAAAGCTTACAGAGGAATTATTTAAAGCAAGTATACACACGTCAAATACTAACAGGAAACAAGTAACAATTTACTCTTTTCCCTCTCGCACATATGAGGCAGACACCTTTGTAGCTATATCCCTCTTGGTGATGGGATTAAAAGCACCATTTTTGGCTTGATTTTACTAAATATTTACGCTGTAGATCTAATTACTACCAAAAAAAAAACGGCAGCTGCAGCAACAGACCTTCTTTTCGTTTCCCTTGTTTCCTATTTTTTAAATTTGTTTTGTTTTCGTTTTTTCCTTCTTGTATTTTTGCTTTTTTTTCGTTTTGGCAACACTACACAGTACCGTGATATGGCCGGTTTTAATAATATTATTGTAATCTACTCGAACGAAAAAACGCTCACAGTTAAGACGCTGCTGTCATTCCCTGAATAGAACAAGTTACCACAGCAGAAGAAAAGCTAATAAAACTTCTTCCTAATATTTGGTTGAGGTGTTTATAATCGAAAAACAAACTTATCGAACCTCGTTCTCTACCGAGCTACAGCTATCTGCGAAGTATATATAGGAAATAAAGTTGTTTCAATGCTTAACATATCTCCGAACTCCTGTAGTTCTTAGAAAGTTTTTTTTTGAGAGGCTGGTTACGGTTGCCTGTTATAAAAATGCCTTGGTAGTCGAGGTCAATAAAAAGAGGCGGTGTCTTTTACAGGTCATACTGTTCAGGCTGAGTCTAATCATTGGTACCACATTTGTTACATCAAAAAAAGCAAGATGAAACTATTTTTCGTGCCCAAAAACAGCTTTGAAAGTAGATCTAAGACATAAATACTCCATCACCATGTATGGTTGCTTTAAATGCAAGACAAAAAACATAAATAACAAAGCTGAACGAAACAAGCACAAGTAAAATGAGCGAGAAATCATCGCTTCTCTCAAACTGTAACCCAAGAAAGTTTTTCACGATTCGTTTGTATGTCTTTTCATGAGTTGAATCGAATGCTAATAGATTGTACAATGTAATAAAAACTTTTCTCATCAAATCTGGCCTATATAAATTGCTTTGTAGGTGGAAATGGAATTGAAATTTTAAGGTCTCCCTTGAGGGCAGCCGTAAATTCTATTTTCTTTTTCATCTAAAAATTGCTCAACCCCTTGACAGAGAAGAAAAGCTGACTTTCTCAGGGTGTAGATTCAAATTGTTGCATGGTTTCACAACTAGAAACCACCTCAGTGACCTTCGATTTGAAAGAATCCATCACTGAAAGCAGATACTCGTTATGCTTCTGCTGAAAGTCAAAAATGGAAAGGACAATTTCACGAGCCTTTTGCCTTTCGCCAGAAGACCGACCCTCTGGATCGTTCATTCCGGAGACGTACGCACAGTCTTCTCCTCAGGCTACGGCAGCATACACCTCATCCACTTTTAACGTCTGGGCATAGGGTGGTCTGCAATACTTCTCCTCCACAAACAGCAAAAGCAAGACTGCAAGACTGTAGACACAATGGTCCCGCAGAGTGTTCACCGAATCAGGGTCAGATGCGCTTGCAACGGGATTCTTAGCAGGAACATGGAAAGGCGCCTAGTTGTCAGGATACGGAATCGTGTCATCCCTTGGCTTAGAAACGTTCAGCTTTGCATTCCCGTGGAAGTCAAGCTGTTTTTCAAAAGAAAAAAACATAATGAACATGGCTCCCAGCAGAGCTTCATTACTTCTCATCTGCTTAGGACTTTTTCATATTCATTGACTGCATACGAGTAAAATGAGCAGCGAAAGAAAAGGTTCCGTGATTGCCATATACACCATTGATCGAGAGGGGGGGCACTGGCCTTTGCTGCTGCAATCATACGCCAAGCTACTTTGCCTAAATATCTGTAACTCCTTGCAATTAAAAAAAATCATGTAAGCCAGGTTAACTTGAAACGACTGGTGCCCGTGCGAAAATGGTTTTTGTGGAAGAAGGAAAACTGGAAAACCTACAAATATCCTTTGAGGAAAGACAAATGGCAGAGTAGTGGGGCTATACTTCCTCTCCCATCGACAAAAATTGGAAGGCTCAGCCCACCCCTTCTTTTAAATTCAGGTTTTTTAAAGGATTTGAACTTGTTTCTCTACAAATATCCCCTGAGGAAAGACAGATGGCAGAGTAGTGGGGCTATACCTCCCCTCCCTTTAGCAAAAAGTGGAGGGCTCAGCAGCCTCCCCCCCCCCCTCCTTTAGAATTCAGGTTTTCGAAAGGATTTGAACCTGTTTCTCTAAGATACAGGTGGGTGCACTACTACCAACTAAGCTATGAAATTAAGCCACTCCTGAGAAGCAAAGGGGGAAGGCAAAAAGGGGTTACAATCTATTCCCCCCCCCCCTCAAAAAAAAACTGCTGATATTTGATCAAATTATCAGCCTCTCTTTCTTAAAAAGTTTCAAACAGAAAGGTGTATCACAAACCTGGATACAGTTTTTCTCACTATATTTAAGATGGACAGTGCGAGATGTGCATGGTACTCAAGAAGTTGGCATGAATGACCCACCAAGAAGTTCATTCACAAAGGAGCTCTTTCCACTATTTGTTTGTCCAACAACAAGAAGAGTAGATTTCTTGGAAGGATATGATTGTAGACTCTGCCTTTCTTTGTCAGTCATAAGATCTGTTTTCAAGCTAATAGGGAACTTCTCTTTCATGTTGTCAATAAACTGCCATGTTTGGATTGAGCACTCCCCAAAGAAGGAGATGAGAGAGGTCAAGTCTTTAAACTGTTCTTCAAATGATGGGGCAGGAAATTCTTCTGTTTCTGTGTCCTCATTGCCAGAGATACCTGGATTTACAATGGTGAAGATGTTACTTTCAATCAATTATCTTGGCCAACTAAAGGAAAAGGGTAAATTATAAGCTTTCATTTTCTTGGTACCCAAAATTCAGTTTTAAACTTGACAGGTTGGATTGTAAGAACTACTGATTGCAATACTTATAAACAGTATTTTGCGTTAATCCTAGAACTTGTGAAGTTGAATCCTAGAACTAGAAGTGACCAAGAAATAACTTCTCCTTACATGCACAATACCAAGCAGACAAGTTACAAGAATAGAGATTAAAAAATCAATTAGAGGATTATTAGTTTATCCAATGTTAAATCCTCCAAACTAGCACCATAATAGTTATATGATAGAATGTATGGAGAATTGTCAATGAGATCTTGGTTGTGAATGGGTTGATTATAAAATACATGAGATCCATACAAAAGGACAAGAACAAGCCAGACAACTGCACTGAACCCCAGTGAAAAATATAAAATGACAAGATTATTCAAATTTTCCCACTCCCAAGTGCTACCAGAGTGTACTTCCTCCTTAAAAAAATTAATACATTCTGAGACAGACAGTTAATGAGGATAATGGTTGTATCATAAATGGGAGAGAATCTGGGGGTATTAAGGGTTTTGAGAATGCCACTGTGAGCAAGCTCAGCACAAAAAAGGGGTTAAGTTGTCCCCCCCCTCCCTCCAATGAAGAGCTGTGAGTAAATTTTCTAAAAATCAACTGCGCAGGAAGAGCTGAACTGATAGTTTTCTACAACCTATGTAACTTTTCACAATTAATTTCTTAATCTTCACAAAACAGCAAAAGCAAATAAAAGAACAGCAAATTTAAGGCCAATCGATCTCCTTTAACAAACGCAATCTTGTGTATAGGAAACATTGCCCATTATTGGGTTATGTGCCTCTAAAATACAAACATGATAAACTGGTACAGAGACATGCAGTCTTGCATCATCATTGTGTACAAGTAATTTTAATTAACATTAAAGCAGACTTTTCCTGTTGTGCAGTTTTCCCATACTGCAAGTAAAAGTACCCTGATATCATAATAGGTACCTAAAAGATTACTTAGTAATTTATATCATTTGCTCTATTCCTTCGCTAATTAGCAAATATATAGAAAACCTCATTTGTATTCCTAGAAGATATTTCTCTTTGACCCTTCCATACCTTTCCAGTATTTCATGTTTGCTGTTTTTGTATCTGTTCAGTGTTTCTATCAGCCAGCCTTTTTGTCAAATAGCATATTTGAGTATTATTTTATCATTATTTTTTGTATATCATCATGCAAGAGTTTCGTATTTGTGAAAATATTAGTTAAATGGCAAGGTTGTTTTTTTCCCACACATTGTTTGGTGTTTGGTTTTGTGAATTAAAATTGGGTGTCATTGATTCAAACAGATATATATTTCATACAGACCTCAAACTGAGCTTGAAAGGAAAAGAAAATAAGAGGTTTAAGAAATCTCTAGTGACAGATTTCAGAATGTTCCTACAAACTGAAACTAGTGTTACGCTATGGGCTTGCAGTGAGTCAGAAACAAATTTCTGAGTGAAATCGCATTGTGACGGTAATTAGAGCCGATCTGCAACTATTCCAAAGAATATAATATGTCTTAATTCTGGGAACGATTCTCGTAATGGAAACATAACTTTTAATAAAACATAAACGAAATGAAGAGAAGCTGGTGACTTTTGGTTTTCGTCTGCATGATCAGTGACAGTTTAGAATACGTACCGAAGGTTCTATTTCCCTCTCTTACTAAAATGCGGTCGGTAATGTACTCTTTAAGCTTAATCTCGATGAAGATTGGCTTCGTTTTACTCCCCTACAAAGCTTAAGTATTACTTAGTTTAGGCTCTCGTTCTGCAACCAGTTGCATGTTTTGCATGTCAATAGAAAGGCCAGACTGCAGACTTTCGTAATGCGGTAAACATGAACTACTTCAAATCAACATTTCCAATTTTCTCACCCTCGCGGGAAGCCATTTGTTCACAATGACGGTCAGGTTGGATCTCATTCAGTATAAAGGTTTGCAAAGAGATTTGATCCTGTACAGACGAGCCCAACAAACCACGCTTATTTCTAGAATTCACTTTGATTCCTGGTTCATTCAGATTTTCGAAAAAACTAGGCTATGGTAACATGTCGCGTGACATCCAGACATGCAATGAGAGATTGGACTGGACTGGACTGGACTGGACTGGACTCGCAATTTTCTGGTATGGATTTCTTTTCTCGTTGAGCTCCACTTCATTAAAAATCTTTCTTTAATCAATTCAGACATGTACACAACTTTGCTATCATCAGCAAATTGTTATTTTTGTTGTTATTGTTGTTTTTTTTTAAAGATCAATTTTACCAGTCAGAGTGGGGTTTCATTAGAAGAATCTATCTCTGACAAGATGAAAAGAGCAATAGCTTTCGGGCTAACTGTAACTGTAATAGAGCGTTGAGGGGAAATATTGGATCGCCAAGAACTCCCTTGATTATTTTGACAGGTCTGCCATTTTTGTCTTGAGTCGCTTGCGCTGTTGTCTACCTGGAGACCTTTAGTAAGATCCAACGAACTTAATAGGGAAATCTTCTTATGGAACTTAACTTTAAATCATAACATAACATTAGTCATAACACAACGTAACAATAAGGATTGGTATAGCAAGAAACTGCAGACTGCGTGCTCCAATCTTCTATTATAAATGAGTTCATAACAAATTTGGAAAATTTCATCGAAGGTGATCAATGACCATTTGACTTCCTCTTTTTTCCAATTAAGGAATATAAGAAACAATAGCCTTTGAATTTCATGCAGTGCTCTCCAATCTCGTCGAGTCGTCCAGCCATGGCGCTTCAAGACGTGTTCGAGGATTTCAAGAAAAGCAAGGCTGTGCTGAAAAAAGTTCACCATGACACGGTCAAATACTTCGATGAAATCGTTCGAAAGCTTTCCGATAAAGGTACTGCAGAAATTGTTGAAGAACTTCGCTACAAAACCTCACCCGTGCAAGCCTCTCCAGACGAAGTTCAAGCAATGGCTCAAACAGTGGCAATGGCGGATGGTCATCTAGAGTTCGATCACGCTCTTTCTGAGCTGCTTTACACAGCTAAGGAGAAGAAGGAAGTTACCGATTTGTTTGATCAGGAGCCGGCGCTCATTTTTGTCGGGGAAACCAACTGCGGAAAAAGCACCATAATCAACGAGCTCCTAGGTTGTAAAGCGCTTCCTACATCAGACCAACCGAGCACCGCGAGAATTGTTCGCGTTTGCCACGCCGAGGAGCCTTACTGTCGCCTGGTTGACACACATGGTAAAACCTTAGAAGAGATAAAGATGAAAGGCAAGGATAGAAATAGAATCCCTCGAAAGAAGATCGAGCTCAAACCGAAGGATCGTGGTGACCCTAGTAAAGTGGGGGCGATCGTGGAGACCGGTTTAAATATCGATTTCTTGAAGTGCGGTGTAAGCATCATAGACTCCCCTGGAAGAAATGAAAATAAAGCGCTGGACAACTTGGTAAAGGAGCAGCTGGAAAATCCTCTGGCGTTTGTCATATACGTGGTGGATGGACATAATCTTTTCACAAAGCAGGTAAGGTTTTTGTTGTCAATACAATCGATTCCTCGATTGGTTACAATTTGTATTTGCGGTTTTGTAAGTCACTTGGACTGTGTCTCTAAAATATTGAGTCATGAATCAGTTATTGGATCAGAGTAGTTTGTAAATACGAAGCTTTTTAAAGCAAAAGTTTACTGTCATCGAAATTAAACGGTCGTGGTTTAAATTTACACGAGAACGTCGTGAAATGACAACGACGTATACATCACAACATCAGCATAGCTTTTACTCTGGTTTGCTTGCTGTTGCATTTATTTCGAAATTATTATTGAAATGAAGATAAAAGTTTATAAAATCAATCCATTCTTTGCCAACAGATGTACAAAACTCTTTCACTCCCAGCGATTCTCCACTGTTAAGTTTTTCGATTATATGCATCATTCTACGATGTGAAAACTCACTTCTAAGCCATTTGTTCGCAAAGATGAACACTTTGCCTTTAAACTCCTCCACATTAAAAATTCAAACACGTACATTCTGCTGGTTCAAATTTTCCACCCACCCAAGCAGAGTTCAAATTCTCCTCCCCGTGGGCACGGATGAAAGTGATTGCCGTGGGTTTCCAAATCCAATTGCTGCAATCTGATTGGCAACGCTATTCGCCTTATAAATAAGTAAAGTGAGTGTCTTACTAGTAATATTGTGGGGTTGTAAACAAAATGAAATAACTATTTGAGCCTGTTTTGTTATTAAGTTTTGAATAGTTAACAGATTTATAATAAAACGATTAGATTATTCGCTCTCTATTTGATGATTTTTCTTTTCACAGTCTTATCATCAATTATTACCAATTGTTATTTGTTTCCTTGCCAGGATAGAGAGGTCCTGAATGAAATGACATCCTCAGAGACCGATTTATCAATTTTTTTCGTTGTTAGCAAACTGGAACCAGAAGATCGTACCGAATCATCAGATGAGGACGATAAACCAAGAGGTTATGCAGCATCAGTGAAGGCGCGGAAAAAGCCAGAGCTCGAAGCACAGAACAGAAAGAAGGCACGGGTGTATGAGCGGCTTGTCATAAACGGCCATTTTCCTTCTCAACTGCCCATGAATCAAAACGAGCGATTCCATGGGCTGTCAGCTTTGCGCATCCAGCAGTACCACGCTTCGAAGAAGGAAGATCCCAAAGCTTCTTTCGAGGAGTTTACAGATTACACAGAAGCCTTTGAGGGATTTCAAAACAGCTTGAAAAAGTTCGCTGAAGAATCCTTACGTGCAAGGGTAGAGTGTGTGTGCAAAATCCTCGTGCGTGCTCTTTCCAGATGCTTGGATTTCTTCATTCAGAAAGCCAACGTCTTGAAATGGGGAAAGAAGCAAATATTGAAGACGTTGGAAACACTTTTGCACGAGGAACAGCAAGTTCACGAGAACATAATCCGCGACCTGGAGGACGAAAAGCGGGCCATGGATATACAAGAGCTGCTCAGTGATGCCATAAATGGAGCCAGAGAAGACATCCTAAAGGAGGCAGGAGATTTTGTATACGTTTTGACCGAATTTACCATTCCCTCAAGTGGTCATGTAAAGGAGAAAGCAGCTGTAGCTCACTGTTTGTACCAGATTCAGGGGATGGTGGCCAATAAACTCGTAGGAGAGATCAACCAAAACTTAACAATGATGTTCCACTCCAGAGATCTGTTCCTTGTTGGCCTCAAAGACGGCATGGAGCAAATTCAAGGAGAAATTGTCAGAGACAACGACATTCCATCGGCAGCACTCGCTCTTGCCAAAAGCCTTCTTTCTTCTTACGAAGCTAAAATCACGTTTTCACAACGCAACAGAGGAGCTCTCCGTTTCACAAAGAAATTAACGATTAAGTTCAACGAGGCGATTCGTACCCCGATCGACACACATATCAAGACCATCAGTGGAGAGGTTCAAGTTGGCTCGAAGAAATGGAAGACAAATGTTGCTTCAGATGCCCTTGCGAAAGTAAATCCATCTGACATGGCTCAGACAATCGTCAACAGCTTGAAACAGCACCTTTGTGACTGCCATGAAGACTTCACCAATGAAATAAGGAAAGTGCAAGACCTGTTCGATCGCGGAGAGACTATCAAGGATATGCAAAGAGAAACTATTCTTGGCTTTGCTCCCAATCTTGCACTTCTTGAGATAATGGCATATGGTGTCATGGACAGGTTCAAGTTTGGATTTCCAGCTAAAGGAGAGCGCATTGGGACTGGGGCACAGGGTGAAGTCTTCGCCTGTGACAACATTAAAACTCCAGAAGGAAGGCCCTGTGTTGTTAAGGTGGTAAGTGTCACTTCAGAGGAAGTGCTCAAGGACTTGACCCTGGAACTTCATAATACCAGGTAATGTGCAATATCAAGATGGTAAGGTAACGTAACGTTTTGAAATATGTGCGAAACAACGCGCGGTCTCATCGGTCGGTGGGTTCGTTTAGAGTTATCGATACAGATTCGCCCGTATTTTTAGAAATCAATTCTTAAGGGCAAATAGGATTCTTTTTTCCATATTCACAGGGGTTTATCCGAACACTCGGAAGATTAAGGAAATTCTTGAAAGCTATTGAAGCCCTCGTCTTTTCTTATTCGAACAATTTACTAAAATGAATTTCTTGGTTTAAGAGCTCTCCACCATCCGAACATTCTACCCGTTATATGCACCGTAGTGGAGTCCAACCCAACTCGTGGCCTTTCTGTGCAACTTGTCTCGGAGCGAATGAGATGCGATCTTCATGATGGTTTAGCGGGTATACCCTCCTTGAGAAAGAGGCTTGAGGTAGCTCTTGACGTTGCCAAAGCCTTGCAGTATCTTCACGGAGAGGAGCTGATCCATCGCGATGTTAAAATGCAGAACGTCTTGGTGAGTACTGTCACACTGCCTGTTAGCCTTGATTGAAAAATAGATGGGGCTGTGGTGGGTGTTTACTATGTAAGGCTGTGCTTATGAAGAGTTCCCTAAGAGGAGCCGATTATTGAACCAAAAGGGGACTTAGAAATAATAGTATTCTGAATTTTGAATTTATACAGCATATAAGTGGTACATTACATTTTTGGACGAGCGAATTCGATTTTCTCCTTTTCTCCTTTTAGCTGGACGAGGAAAACAACGCAAAGTTAACTGATCTGGGTCTCTGTAAACCCGAGGGTCTCATCAATAACTCGTTGGTTGGTACTCCTATCAACATGGCGCCCGAAATGATGAAACAACAGTACGACAAATCCATTGATGTGTACGCGTTCGGTATATTGCTCTGGCGAGTGTGCGAAGGCCAGGGCAACCAACCACAGAATATAAACCGCCACTTTCTACCTCTGGTTATGCTCATGATGAATGCCGTTGACAACAAGACACCAGAGAGGTTGGACGTGTTTCCAGAACAATGCTGGCAACTCATGGAAAGGTGCTGGAATCAGGATCCCGAAGCAAGGCCATCATTCGACAGCGTGGTTAGGGACTTGCAAGCGTTCCTAGCGGAGATGACGGATCAGTAGCAGCCGTTTGGGGCATTATTGATTCTGCATCCATTAAA